GAGCGCAAGTGAACTGCTTTAGCTCTATTGGACACAATCTCTTCAAATCATTGACGACGTTGGACTTGGAAAGCCTTCTACAGCCCATCTTCAAAGCCTATCTTCATTGACCCACCGTCGAGATGATCAGTGGACCTGGTGACCAGGTGAGGCCTGCACATCCAGAAAGATGAAAAAACTGGATTCATCGAACTCGATGCTAGCATCTGTTCGATTGATTGGAGGGATGGCAAGGCATTGGCTGTATAGACCCAACCTGTAGACCTTGTGGATCGCACCTGGACCGACCCTCAGGTAGGTGGTCACCTGGTTCATATTCAACTGGTCAACCAGGGTGTTGAGGTGCCATGACGCAGTTCGAAACCTGCTCGGGCTCGGACCTTCTACAAGAGCAAGAGGGAGTGGTTTGGGGTCTCGGGCGAGGCGAGGCGACTGTGTCCCCGAGACCCTCCCTGTGCCTTCTAAGAATTCCTTCATCTTCTTCACTTCTTGTAGCTGTTGATTGGCTCCTCAGATCAAAATCGTGCAGAAAAGTAAGTACTTCGCGAGACGCGATCCCTCTCAACTGGATCCTTGGGATTCATGGCAAAATCATTCCAAAAGCCATTAAAAACCATTCACCCAAATCACCCAAACACTCACAGCCCGACCCTCCCGGTCCCTCCCAGTCCCCCAGTCCAGAAACAATGAGAAACCCTAGACCCCGCATACCGCATAGACCGAGGGCTGAGGGCCGAACAGCGGGTCCATGAGCCTTCTGGGTGAGAAGACAGTCATAAGAACCACCAAACGCATACCTGGACCCTCCGACCCTCGTGTCGGTGCCCTGGACCTGGAAGCCTAGGCCTACTAGTAGTGTGGGGTAGTCGAACGTCAAAACACACCCCTGTCGGGTCGGAGGGTCGGGTCGGAATTGTCAACCCATGCTCCGTGGCGTTCGCGGCGTGCGGCGGCGGCGGTTCGGGGTCTGAAGAGCTGAATCCTGGTCTTGCTTTGGGCCCATCCGTCAGCCAATGAGGAAGCAGGAAATGTGAAAGTGGTTCCTGAAGATGAGGAGATTGGAAACCCAAAATCCACCATGTTCAGTCCGACAACTCAAAGCCTGGAGACCAAACTCATCCAAACTCCAACTACTCCCATTCATCCAGCTACATTCAACCCCATGAATCCAAAAAAGGATGCGAAAACTGACCCAAATACGACCCCCCCATCAGTCGTTCCACCCTACAGATCTCATCGATCTCTCCACTTCCGAGTCTCTTGACTTCCACTCTGCCAGCTTGGCCTCCATCTCTTCCACACCCCCAGCGCCCACTGCTCCATCTGCGACGAGCACGACCTCCACGCCACAGCGCCGGAGCCTCCGCACGAAGGCCTCCGCGCGCTGGGCGACCAGGTCGAAGCGCCAGGAGTCCAACTCATCCTGCCCGTGGCACGGCCGCCGCGCGCGGGGGCCACGGATGGCGCGCATCGAACGGAGTGGCCAGGGAGATGGGCAAGGGGGGATGGGCCACTGCTTCCAGCACCGTCGACTGCGACTCTCCATGAATTGGGATCACATCAGCTTACACAACCCATCCGCCTCGACCAGTCTCGCCACAACCCACCACCCACCACCGCCAGGCGCTCCTGAAATGAGCCTAGGAGCCAGAAGACGAAGGGTTGGAAATCCACAAGGAGGCGAAGGTCTTCAGTCCGCTCCTCGTCCAGATCGACCACCTGCATGCGTGTCCGCTGCAGCTGCAGCTGCACCCAGGCGCCACTGCTCGACTGCGACTCGAGAGTCGCAGCAGGCTGCCCAGAAGGAAGGGAAGGGTCACCAACCCAGAACATCCAGAACATCCTGCTTTCCATGCAAAAGTCCCCAATCAGATACTGCCCAAAGATTGGAGCACACTGTAGCCTAGCTCTCGACTTTGTGAGGAGCGAAATTCCTTTAGACATACCTTTGAATATAGGTTAGGCCGCTGAGCATTTATGTCGCGGATGTGATTCCGGACTTTTTGATCATATCAGAGCACAGTGAACAAACAACTCGATGTGGGGGATGAATTTAGTGATCCATCGGTCGACTCAAACAGGGTTCATCCGAAAACCTTCACTGGGTCGGCCTTGGGGAAGTGCAACATCCGGCCAATGGGAATGTCCGGTGGAAAGTCCCAAAGCCGTTGGGTGAATTTGATCTCCACCCCACAAATCAACCCTCCATCCCAAAGAACGGTGCCTTGCCTCAGGTGGTACCCTTGTCCTCAAGAGCTTCAATAACCCCCGCACGCCCATGGCTTCTACACCGTTCGCTGGAAAATGAAGTCGGAAATCCTGCGGACATTGATCTCATACATTCCCCTGAGGCCTGACAAACGACTCAATGGGAGCAAAGAAACAGCGGTGGAACATCGGGAGTTCGGGAGACGGGACCCGACTCTGGCTCCGGAAGGTCAGGGATTCTGGGGAGTTCAGCACCAATCCCTGGGACCGGGGAGGGACCCTGAAGTGGTGGACGAAGCGGAGCATCAAGCAGTTCTCCGTTCCACAGCATCGGTCGGTGTCAAGTGGAGCCTAAGAATCTCCCCGGTTTCAAGCCGTTCGCTTCGGAAAGTGCCATAGCCATGATCAATTTGTAGACTCACTTGATCTCACTTGTATCCATGTGCCCGTACAGCACAAAGATCACAAAGGCTTTGGCGTCTATTGCGAGCCTTCAGCTATGCAACTGACGGACAAAGTGTCATCTTAACCATATAAAGAAACTGCACATTTAGGACCCTACAGGACCTTTCTCGCTCTTTCGCTTTCGCACCCCAGCCCAACGCCGCAGCCCCTCCTGAACGCAGCACAGGAAGCTCCAGCCCGGCCCTTTTCCCCTCCAGATCTGCTCGTCTTCGGGACATTTCCCACCACCCAGGCGCCCTGGCCAAAGCCCGGCATGCCAGCGCCTGAATGGTTCTGAGCAAATCGGCCCCCGGAGCCTACGGCAGGTCCGACACGGCGGGCGTTTAGGTTGTTTCGCAGCAGCACTCAGGGTCGTGGGACCCGGCGAAAAAAACCGGTTGGGTTGTGCAAGCTCACAATAAAACCGGTCAATCTAGAGTGATTTGATGTGATTTGATGATTGATGCATTGATGCACAGAATGTGTGAAGGAGGTGTCTGGGCCCATCCTGGGGGGCCCCATCCAGTCCGTCGTCTCTTTTGCGGGGAATTTGCTGTCCCGGAGCCGGAAAGATAGAGGTTCCCTCCTTTTCACCCACAGAAACCAGGGAAAGTAGAAGTTGACCCTCGAACCGCGGTCCCCAAATCGATAGTGGCACGGGTGCCGAAAAATAGATTTTAGTAGTGGGGATCTAGGTTCTATCTATCTCAGGGTCTGTGGTTGTAAAACGGCAAAACCAAGTTTGGAACCCCTAGTTACCCTAAGTTGAAATATGAAGAATGCGACGTCCCTCCTAGTTTGAAACTTGACCAGGCTGTGCCTCCCCCTCCAACACGTGACCAGTCGTGACACTTCATTGATGAAACTGGGTGCATGGCCCCTCAGGCAATGCAAGTTGGTGCATCATGGTCCGTGCATCTGCCTTCTGGTGGATGGTAGTGTCATTTGAGAGTTGGTGATAAAGTTGCTGGCGTTACTTCTCAATTTTGCCATCCGCGTTTCGCCGCAAAAGGGCTCTTCCCGCCCTTAATCTTGCCGTGGCTGAATCAGCAGCCGACCAAAGGCAAAACGCCAGCGCTTTGGCACGGTGCCGTGACAAAGAGCAGCTGCAGCTAGCGCAGCTACAGCTTGTAGCTGAGCTGGGACCCGGTGAACTGGCGCCTTCTCCAAAACCGCTTTGAATGTGTCATCGCAAAAGAACTGAAGTGGGAAAATCATGCAAGTGGATGGCACCAAGGTGCCGGTGGATGTGCCCTGGCCATCCGAACTCAGGTGCTTCGGTTCTCAGGTAGCGAGTGTCGTGTTGATTGCGTGGGAGTGCTAAGTCAAACCATGTCCCCCAGTAAAAATCCATAGCCCAGTATGTAGCAACGCTGGATGCTGGAAACATGCGGCAGCGGCAGCGGCGCCAAACAAAATTGGAAGGCAAACATAATATTTGGATGTTCATGGTTTTGCAACACTGGGAGATGTTGTCCATGATTAGCACACTCCGATCGATGGTTGATTCCTCTGGCCGAAGCATCCAAAAGTCCCTCAAGAAGTCCTGCAACGTTCTGCAACCCTTGATTGAGTGAAGGTCACCAGAGCCAGCCGCAGATCTGCACATCAAAGAACGGGGCTGCAAGCGAGAGCTTCCGCAGATCAAGCTTGAATCTTGAGTGCTGGTAAGAATGCAAAATGTTTACTGTAGGGTTTTGACATGTGACCTGACCGTCGCCCACACCAAACGTCTTTGCAGCCTCTCATAAGTCTGGTGGAGCGCCCACACTCACGGGGGATCTCCACATGGTCGAATTCAGGGCGTGGGCAGTGGCGCTTGCCGTCGGAGTTCCGCTTCAAGATCGGCACTCCGGGCCGATGAAGGATCCGAAGCGGTCTTCGGCCGACTCCCTCCATCTTCCGAATGAAAACGAATGAAGAAAAGGGTGGAACAATGGAAATGCCCAAAGAGCGGAACTATAAAAAACATCCGAGTTCTTTGAAATGGAAGAAGTGGACCTGCAATGTCCTACATGAGCTCATGTGTCTCCCGATGTTTGCTCTGGTCAACCGAACTCTGACTGGGCGTTCGGCCGCCCCACGGACTGCGCGTGCCTTTGAAACCGCCCCTGGCCGTGTCCAAGGTCGTCGCTGCCACCGGCAAAGTCAGTGCAGGCGGCAGCAAATGTCGGGGATGTGGAGAGAGGGTTCCCTTGATCATAGCTTCAGCATGTTCAGCACAGATGCTCTCACTAAAGACAAATGGCCAATTGCAGGATACTCACAAGTCCATGGAAAAACCGGGTTCTGTATCAGAAAGGTTGGATCCGACCTGCTACACCCCAGTGGGAGATAATTTCCATCATGTCAGGCCAGGCCTGTCTTTTACAGCCCTCGGAGGCAATCCCTCTCTGTGAAGTGATCAACGTTCCTCAGGGTGGGACTGAGCTCCGACGTCCCATCCGAGTGGCCCATCTACACTTGATCAGAGACCGAGCGAAGTCTCGGCCCGAAAGCGTCGACCGGCATCTTCTCAGCCAAAAAGGAAACGGCGTCTTCCCAGCATCTATCAGTAGCACCATGCCGGCACCATCCATCTGTTCTTCTTTTTCGCAAAAAAAAAGTCAACAACGTCATCATGCCTTGCTCAATCCTTCCCTGACAGTGGATCTACACATCTCACTGTGAGTCCTCGATGCTGATCACTTCGTGCACCTGGACGGCGAACGGCCACCGGAGACGGCGACTCCATGCGGCCGACTGTACTCAGCCGTAGGAGGTGTTGGATATGAGAGACATGTCATCCAAATGGTTGGACGTGTTGGTGGTCCTATACTGGTGACGTTTTTTCTCCATGTATTCTGACAAAACTCCATTAGACTCCTATATATGATCCCTCTCAAAAGAAGCGAGCAATCTGTTCATCTTCTTCCACAGATCCACAGACCTCCAGCATCGTGACAGAGATCCGAAAAAAGGAAGTCAAGCATTCAAAAGCGCTGTCTGTATCGGAAGTCCTCCTTGTGCCAATCAATCTGTGATAGTGGGTTGCTGTGACAGTGAATCGAGGATCAATTCTGTATCAACCAACAAAAACGCTTTTGATTGGGTAAATAGTCCTCAGTGTTTTGTCTCTAACAGGTTCATGTCCTGCCTCGCCCAGAATTCGTCCAACCAAGCAAAACCCGCCGGGTTTTGAGGGGTTCCTCAAAGAAAGGTATGGCCGATCAGCCTATAAAACAACTTAACCAACCCGTTAAGGTCCCATCCTTCACTCAACTATGCATCCGACCTCGAAGCGCGTGGGCACAGGCGTAGAGATCTCGCGCTTGACGGCAACCACCTCTACGCCTGTGTCATGCGGATGCATCTCGCGTCCGTGTGGCCTCCCACTGAAAGACTTGCCTGTCATCTCAAGGGAAGCTCGTTTGGAAGGGTGTACAGATGTGTACTACGTTACTTGGGGAGCACAGTCATTTCGCGCCACATGATGCTGTGCTCCGCCACACAAGGCTGTCCCATCTCCACGCCTTCAGTGGGAGAGGCCTCCTTCGTCTCAGCTTCCACGGACTCGGGCTCAGCTTGCTCCTTCGTCTCCTTGGCCTCGAAACACGACGAGAAGATCTGACCACAGATCTTCCATATCTTCCATTACCATCTGAGTGCACAATCTGATCATGAGCATCGTTGTTGAAGGAGCTTGTTTTCAATAATTGTTGTTGTTTACGATAGGATATAGACCCAGCCCACTGGTGGTGATGATCCGATTCATGAGCCTCCGAAAGAAAAACCAACCTAACGATGTCACTCTGGTCACCTGGCCACTGAAACTCGGCCCGGCCAGAAGTGGAACAAAACCCACGCCTCCGGACCCGTGGACCGACCGTTCGGTTGATCAGCGGATCGTTTGGTGTTGTGAATGGAGTTGAAACGGATCAGGAAGTTGTTCGGTTCTTTAGAAAACGCGCGACGTGCGAATCTGTCCAAGCCACAACTCGTGTTAAGCAGTGGAATGTTCGGTTTATATAGGACTCAAAGTGAAACAAATACTATATACATATATGTGTGTGTGCGTTGGGGGCCTCCAGGCCCAGTAATCAGTTCACGAGGCAAAAATGAAAAGTCCTTCACAAAAAAAGAGGTTCACCTGTCACAACTTCCTTAGAGTCTTCTTTGCTTCGCTGCTGCATCAGGCTATGTTCAAACCTTATCAAATCATTTTTGGGAAGCTGTAAAGCTATGTAAAGCCTGAACAATTCTGACCTTTCCCTAATTTTCTTGTTGCCAAGATATATATCCATAACAAGGAGGAACCCCCCACACCCCTAGTTTGTGTCGCAGGTATCCCCTTTGCAGTGTCTTTGGTCTTTGATCCACACCGTCTCAGCTTGTCCCTTGCCTCTTCTTGCCTGTGTTTGATCTCCTGCTAAGGGCTTAACCTTTAGAGGTTTTGTAGCAAATCCCTTATCAACGCAAAATCTCAATCACCGAACTGGGTTCAACACTAGTACATCAATCTCCCGTCATCTCATTTGAGCTCTGCTTCGGGGTGATGAAGATCAATATCAAGAGTTGGAGAGAACGGAAAGAAAAGAAAACCATTGGATTGACATGCATGGATTTTGACCTTAAATAAATATGTTCTAAGTGATTGTCCGTTTTCCCGTTTTCGCTTGGACGCTTTCCGGTTTTGGGCTCCGAAAGCGGAGACGGGGTTCAAAGGACGAACCCCTGCCGTTCTCTCCGACCCCCAACGACCCTGCCGCTCCTTCGCCACACGACGGCTGAAGGGCCCCAGGCGTGCGAGCTTCTTCTGCTCCTGGGACCACACTGGAGAACTGGGGAGGGGGCAGTTCTTGTAAGTTCTTGTAAGATTTTCGGTACTGTAGACTCTAGACTCTTGGTTCCTGAAAAACACATATCTTTTTTCATGTTCATTGAACAATGAATATAGTATGCTGGATATACTGCCTCATGGATCCTTCAAAAGGTAGTGGTTTAGTATAGGAGATACTGTAGGCAAACTCTGTTCAGGATCTGTCTATGTTAAACTTGGAGGTGTCAATTCCGCCCTCTCATCTTCAACGAACGCTTCACAAAGTGATCCAGTGTGTGCAATTACAACATATATATATATATAATTACGTGGAAAATGCGTGAAAATGCTTGACCCAATGACCCCAAACCCTTCATGACTTGGTTTGGGTTCCCTTTCTCCTGCTCCGAAGAGAGGTCAAAACCATTGGTGAACTGAGATGTGAATCCAAAAACAACAAAATGAGTTTCCAAATAAAATGCTTCAAAATCCATCCTACGTACTATATAATGCGGACCATATTGCTAAGGAATCTTCCAATAGCCAATGAACATGATATGTACCGACTCGGCGGCGCTGGCCGAATCCGACAGGTGCCAGGGTCCTTCTCCAGAGAACGCACCTGTTGACGTGCTTCCTTCTCCTTGCGCTTCAGCTCATCCTGAGCCTTCTTCGCTTTTTCAACCTGAGAAAAGCAATCTCAGGGGATCTCAGGGTGTTTGTCGGGTGAAGGGAAGGAAGGTGTTTTGTCCACCCTTTTCATGGGTAGAGGCCGGTAGAGGAGTCTTGACAAACAGGTCGCGCCTAGCGGGGAAACTCCATTTGCAAAATATCCTGGGCGATGCGCAAATCCACTCAAACCCTGAAAATCCCCCTGAATGCCCTCTGACCACAAGCTTGGCCCTGTCTATCAGAATCCAGCAATCCCTGCATTCCTCAACGAAACCCGCCACTCTGAATGACTACTTCACCAGGCCATGGAAAATGCTTCTCCCCGGGCCCTGTTCACCAAAAAAGTCCCAGGTCCCAAGGTATGGAAAAGATGGAGAGGAAAAAGGAACGGTGGTCCGTCCTTCCACGTGATCTCGTAGTCCACCGCTTTTCAGGAACCCAAAGAACTCATCATCCAACACTCCCCAAAAAACAAATCCAAAACGCTGTTCACCCTCCACTCTTTCCCGGACTCAAATGCGATATCACCGGCATCCGACCAAGAAAGAGACCCATCCAATCCGTCCCAGGCCGCCGGCCCCAGGCCGGGACCGCTCGCCCAGGTGTCCCCTACGACTTTCATCAATTCTTCGATCTTCTGCCGCTTGGCATCCTCCTCCCCGGCGCGCGACTCCTCCGCCTCGCGCCGGCGCTTGCACTTCTCCTGGCGGAACAGGGCGGGCGGCGCGGTCGGGGTCGGCGGTTCGGTGCAGTCAGGGTCGGTCCTTCTCCAGATCCAGAAGCACCAGCATATCCTGCGCAACAAGAAACGGAGGTTCTTCAAAGAGCTCATGGAGCGGTTGACATTGGGATGCAACCCCAGCATCACTTCCACGGCTTCGAAGGTCTAGAAGTCGCGGGCTGGCTCGTGGGCTCGAACGGACCACTGCGGAAGGCGGCTTTGAGGCCCGTCATGTGCCTTGCTTCTATTTGGGTTAATACACTTGACCAGAATTGAATACATTTGTGCCCAACATCATCCAACATGATTGAAAGGGACCTTGAATCTTGAACACCAATCGGCGGATTGCAAAAAAGATAACGAACTCAACAAATTCCTGAGCTGCTCCTCATAGCCTTGGAGTTCTTTCTTCTTCAGTGCCGTCAACTTTGCGGCCTGGACTTCATCCAGTCTGAATGACCCCAGGCGTGGTTGCAGACCCAAGGCGGGGTAGCTGGGATGAACTGCGTAGATGCGTAGATGGCTCAAGGGCCTTGTCTTGCCGATGTCCACCCGCTATGTGTTTAAAGGGAGTTCTTTAAATTCATGTGGGGCACCAAATCACCCGTTTACCCACTGGCACAAAGAAGAAGTTCATCTTTCACTGGCAAACTGTTCAGCTTGGTGGTGCAAAACTCCATCTAGGTTGCCTGGGGTCCATAAAGCCAATCAAGCTAGCCCTCTTCTGCTGAATAGTACGCAGCGAATTGCTACCCACCATGCCTCCATCTTCCAGTCGCGGCGTCGCGTTTCGTTTGCAGAAAACATTTGAAACTTGAACCGCTTCCCGGTGCAGCTAGAGCGGCTAGAGAGAACATGTCACCATCCACTCGTCGTCTGTCCTCATGTGACCTGGCCTCTTTTTTCTTCTGCTTGATCTCCTTCACGCGCTGAACTGCCTGACTGTCCCACGCCGGTCGGCGTTCTGTCCCGTCGGCGGTCGGCGAAAGGTCTCACAGTCTCACCCTGCAGCCTTCAGAACAACACAAACTAAAGGGACACATGGATAATGTGAAAAGCCAGTGGCACAAGGCACAACAAACCATGTTGTACACAATGGATGACCAAAGCCACCAAACACTGAATCCGTTTTCTTCCGCTACCCACTCCTCGCACCTCAGTCTCCGCCTCGGTCGCTTCCTCCACAGCTTTGCTCAGCTGGGCCACCTACCAACGCAGACGTCACCCACGTCTGCACAAAAACCACACGAACTCTCGCGCACGGATGAAAAACGGTGCTGCCCTTCACAGCGGACTGAGGTCCCCATGAAGTCCCATGAGGTCTCATTTGCGACAGGTGAGTGGCATGGTGGATCCATTGGTCCCCCTGCCTGGTGAGCAAAGGTGGGGTATCTGGTGGCAATGCTCCCAGTGTGACACGGTTCTTCGAGTAGGGTTCGGAAGCCAGGAGCTGGACTGCAGAGTTCACCAGGCAGGGCTTATAGCGAATCCGAAGTCAGGAGATCTTTAAGAGTTTGATATATATATATATATGTATATATCTATATATTCTCAGTGTTGGGTAGATTGTGTCAGGATGTTTCAGGTGTTCATCTCAATCTTTGTTTTCGTTGTGCCAATATGGAACTGTTTCAAAACAGTTACAGTAATGAGCATGTCAGCATGTCACCTCAAATCAAGTAGGAGACCCTCAGTTTGGCGACAAGTGCGTGAAAACCATGTGGGTTCGATGTAAAGTCGGCAAGGGACAAAAGATCTTACGTGGTGTTTGCCCTTCGGCACCTCAACGATAGACCCGATGATAGGGCGCTCCCCACCTCAGCTGTAGCCTCATCCACCAGCGTCTGCTTCTCCTCCTCAATGGCCTCAACAAGACCGGGCCAGCCTATGGTTGGTTGCGACACAATGGCTATAAAGACATCTCAGGTAGTGGAAGGGAGCAACACCAAGTACAGGTGTTCTCCCCTAGCCTTTCTAGTATGAAAACCCTGCAGCCCCAGTGATTGGAAGTCAGCCAACGTCCCACAAGGCTGACTCCTGAACCCAAAATCCGCATGTCCTCCCCTTCCAACCACTTCAACATCAGCGGCAGTGGTTGTGAAAGTCAAAACCTTCAGAGTGAAGAACCAGGCTGTGAAACTCCTGAAGGCAAGAGTACTGCCTGCTATCCGCAGTTTCTTGATCACCCTCCAGGATCATAATGCTACAAACAACTTGTCACTTGTCATCCACCATAGTTGGCCTCACAAACTAGTCCCAAATCCGTTCTGCTTCTTGCAGAACAAGCTCTCCTGAACAGCTCCAGAAAACAGGCACTCGCGCGCGCGCGCGTGCGCGCGTGAACGACGGCGCCTTGGCACTCGCCACCTTCCGCCCCTCTTCCTCCAGTTCCTTGACCAGGCGTTGCTTCACCTCCTCTGCACTGGAGGAGCCCAACTCCGCCAGCACCCGAGCGCGCAAGGATTGGGCCCGCTTCGTCTTGGGGCCATCCTGGCTGCACGACAGCAGCGGCTTCTTTGGATGATGTACGACATGAACCTTCATCCTGACCTCTACCTTTTGGGGTGGTTTTCAGATCTGGTGAAAGCTTCGGATGCTGTGAAAGCTGTCTGATTTCAGACCATGAAAGGTGGTTTCGGGTCTCCGATAGGATGGGAAGGAACCTCAAGGACTCTAGCTCTGGCGGCCATCCAGACCTTTGCCACAGCCTCTAACTCAGACAGCTTGAGGCTGGAATTCCCAGTAAAGAAACTGGTTGGGAGTTGGGAGGCCACCCAAAGTGAAGGAAAAAAGGAGGAACTCCAAAACCGCTTCCATTTCAAGGACCCTTTCCTGGTTTCTTACAGCATGTCCCACCCACTTCCCGGCCTCTGCTTCGGCTGCTTCTTGCTCTGCTTCGCCCGTCACCTCTTCGCCGGTGGCAGTCACGTCCGCCGGCACATCCGCCGGTGCCGGCTCGGCCGCGGGCGGCGAGCCGCTGGTGCCCTCGGGCAGCTCCTGGTGGGGCCAGCAGGATAAGAGTTCTGCCATTCTGCCTTCATTCAAGAGGATTCTTCACACATTCAAGAGGATGTCTGAAGGAAGTTCTGGAGGAAATCATGCAGTTTCAACAGGAAGCTCTGACCTCAAAGGATCTTACCTCTAGTTTGGACCGGGCATGATTGGTGTGCTTTCCAAGCGTCAACTGCAACTACAAAAGTGGAGGTGCAGTGTGGCCCATTTGCTTTGCAGGTGGAAGGGCTGAAACTGCTGGAAGTTAGAAGCTCACGTAGACATGTTTGCCCACTCGACCCTCAGAGAGTCAAAAAAGAAACTGTAGCTGGGCTGTCTCACACCTGGGACATGCAGGTGGAACTCCCTGTTGCATCATCGCATCAGCAAAACTCAGTGGCATAGATGTCATCAAAGTCATAAAACAGTGTGCTTGATCATCTCCGTGCATAAGAACACCAAGGTTTAGTTCCCTTCATCTACGCATGTGGCTTCCGACTGAAACCACTGCTGGACCACACCAGAGAAATTCCAAAACATACAGAAAACATTCGAAAGCTAAAACATCTGCTTCTCTTTCGTAACGCCCAACAGTTTGGTGCTCTACAAACTGTACTACAAACCCCAAATCAGCCCGCCCCCAACAAACCCACGTCGCCCACACCGTCGCCTCGCCACGTCCGCCCCGCCGGCGTCGAGTGGCGCCTCTCCCCACCCTGCCGCCTTCAGCTCCTTAGAGGGGAGCACCTGACGCGCGACACGAACGCCACGCGGAGGTCGCGGGCGTCCGGTGGTCGCAGGGGCCCGTTTTGAGATTGGGAGCTGAAGCAGCACCTGTTTCGGGGGGGTCCAAAGAGGAAATATAAAGAGCCACAAAACTTCACAAAACCAAAAGTTAAAGACTGACCATTGGGGTCCTTGGACGCAAAAACAGTGAACAGTAGTGAAGAGTCCTGAAAGCCCAGTTTGCTTGTGATCTTGGTGCCTGGATTCCTAGGTCCAGTTGAAAGTGGCAAAAAAAAAGTGTGTCGTGCCTCGGGAAGTGAGAAGGTCAGAATTCCCGACGGCTGCCCTCAGTTCAGTTCAACGGAATCTAGTACAGGAGATGGTCATAGATGGTCTGTAAGAGAAACACGGCATGGGAAAGTCAACTGCTTCGGGATTCTCCAAATCTTCAGGCCGAATGATGTGTCGATGGTGCGAGATTTGGAGTCTAACATGCCTCGACCACCTGGCTAAACACCCTCAGGAAGCTTCGGAGGTCCTTTCAAGCTGGGGTCCTCTCAAACAGGTCGACAGGACATCCCCTTTTTATTTCGACCTTGAGCGACTGGGCCTTGCTATGCGTTTAGCCTCAAACTTAGACTGTCATCCCATGCTGTCTGACAGCTGGCGGGTGCAGTTCACCAATGTTATTCTCTGGATGGCATGGCCCCTTGGAAGACCATGTTCATCTACAAACAGGGCATGTTCACTTCCATGTTAGTTCCAGGTCCCAGGTATATATACCGTATTAACCATGCCTCTTCACTCCACATCTTCCCCTCCATCCGTGCGTTCCCACCCCACCCATCCCCGTCCATCCGTGGCCGTGAACACCGACCCCAAACCGGTCTTCGTCCGCTCCGAACCGTGGTGGTCGACCGGTCCGGTCCGCCTGTGTCACTGGCGCGGTCACGTAAGGCATGGCGACCTGCGACCTGACAGGACCCGCAGCGAGCAAGCCGAGCGAGCGCAGCTGCACGCGTCCCGGTGCTGAGAGCTCGGGGGTCGTCGCGAGTCCGGTGAGTCCAAGCAGGTTGAGATGCCACTCTGAGATGCCGTGGAGATGCCGTTGGGAATGTTGGAACGGATGAAAACCAAGTGTGATGAAAACATCTAAACCCTCTTTGGGGAAATGAACATGAATCGTTCAAAACCACCCACGGTTGGAAACCGTGTCCTGGAGGGTCAGCTGCGACCAGCTAAAGACTGCTGGCCATGTGATTCTTCAAAATCATTGTCTTATAAAGGTCAAAAGCAGCGCTCACCACATGTTTCTCCAAGGCGGGCGGTGCACGAATGAAACTGGATCAAGGGCCCTAAGCCGAAAGGTGGCGAGATCAAATGGCAAACCTGTCAGCCAAGTTCAGCTCAAAACTTTCACTGGTATTCTTTCTTTTGCCATTTGTCTCTATGCCAAGGCTTTGAGCGTAGGCTTTGGCCTCATCTGACTCTGTCAAGACCGCTTTGGCATTCTGAAGCCATCTTCGAAAAACATCTCTAAGGTCTTTACTGACCTTCGTCAAGCAGTCTGAAAATTGGTATTGGGTTGGCAGCCACTTCAACTGTCGAGCTGATACTGATTCTTGAATTGCTCGGATCGAGACCAGCGTGCGCTTGTCATTCAAGACGGGCGCAGGGGCCTGGATGGCGTCAAACAAGCTTCGAGCATCGACGGCATGGTAGGACTCAAGTTTGAGGCCAACTCGGTGGGCTGGCTGAAGGTAAAGGAATTCTCTATCCTGTACGATCTGCAGCTTCATCAGCGGCTGTTGCTTCTGCCGCTAGGGTTGACCTACAAACTCTAGGAGATCTGGTGGATCTCCAGTCCACCACTGTGAGGGTGGTTGGACGCTCCAGCACGTCGGGCGTCGTCAGCCCAATCACCAGTCCAATCTGAGATCCGGACTTGCGAGCGTTCGCAAATGATGCATCGCTGTAAGCAACCATGGTGGTGCTGGCATTGAAGGGGATGTCCTGAAAAACCAAACCATCATCTGAGGTCTGATGAAGATACTCGATAGCTTCAAACAGGACCTTGAGGTGTTCCAGCTTGGCTTCATTGCCATGTGGGGTGAGGCTCACTGTTGACGCTAAGTCTGGGCGGGTCTGAGTGCTGACCCACTGAAGACATCCACAAATGCTTCTCAGCTCTTTCTGCTCTTCCATGCTCAAGTCTTGCGACTCCTGTTGTCGTCCTCGTTTCAGGGAACCACTGCTCAAGTTGTTGAGGAACTTCTTCATCGTCAGCTTCAAAACAAAGCGTCCGGCTTCATTGCGTTGAATCTCAAGTTCCTTTCCCTTGAAGGTGACAGGGACATAGGGCTCGAGGTCGGTGATGGAACCCCATCGGAACAAAGACCGAACTTCCTCGATAGGGTAGTCCTGTCGATAGATTCCCAAAAAATCATCTACGTACACTAGGATGATGGAGACAATTTCTTCTCTGTCTTCTTGCTGGGTGGTCTTGTAGAAGATGCAGGCATCAAATGAGTGCTTGCGGTAGTTGATGCTCTCCAGCCTTTTTGATACCTCACGGTACCAAGTCAACGGTGCATTGCACAAACCATAGATGTTTCCGCGGATGCGGTAGAGCCGAGCTTTCCAATGTTGGGTGAGCTTGATGACGCCGTCGGACGGCGGCTTGAGGTACAAAGGAAGTTTTCGCTCTACTGTATCTTGGGCACCTTGTAAGAAAGCTGTTGCTGCATCTGCCGCCCATGCTTGCCAACGCAGGCCACTGGTGAAGAGTTCTCCGTTCAGGCCTGCTGTGAGCATGGTGAGGATCAAGTATTCAGCCACTCTTCCAGGTGTTCCTGCTTGTCGACTGACCGATCCCAAATCCGGATCGAGGTGTCCGAGCGCTACTTGGCTTGTAGCTCTCCAACTCCGCATGCTTTGTCTCGATAGCATGCGCGGGAAGGGATCACCCTTTTGACCAGCTTTGGGTCTTTCAAGACCTCGTCTGCTTGCTGGTCAGTGAGTGGCTCAATGGACTGCCATTCGCTGCAGGAGTTTGCCTCTTTGTCTACTGAAGCTATGAACTTGTCTAAGTAGTTTTGTGGCATCTGGAGGATGGATCTCCATGGGATCTCTCTGTCAATAGCCTTGATCTCCTGTCGAGACAGGCCTTGCTTGTAGGCTGGTGTCACTGCTGTTGCATTGCTGCTCTCCTCGTTTGTGGCTGCTGGTGTAGGCGGTTGCTCTGCAGCGGCGGAAGTAGGCTGTTGCTCTGCAGCTGCTGAAGTCATCTGTAGTTCTGCGTCAGAATCATCTGATGTGTCTGACTCGTCTGCTGGCTTGCCAAGTAGTTCAACGTCTGCTCTGCGTTGTGCCGTGTTGAGATATGCTTGGTGAAAGGCCGTGTGAGGTGCTCCGTACGTGGACCATGTGTTCATGTCTTGTGGGTGGTGCAAATGATGGATGTCTCCATCAATGTCCACGTACATCATGGTGAGTGCGTCAAAAGGCCTTTTTGCTGGTAGGCTTGGCAATGCTTGCTCAGTGTGCATGCTTGTTGCCTGTTGTGCCTCATCGGATGTTTGTTGCTGTGGAAGTCCCACAGTGGTTTGCTCCAGTGGTGCGCTTGGTAGTTGAGGTGGGTCAGGTGCCGCCGAAGTGGTTGACCCTGCCGGTTCACTTCGTGATGTGGCTCGTGGTGCTGGTGGCGTAGGCAACTCTGCATGTAGTGGAGTGTGTGAAACTAGTGGCTCCGCCTCTGCTGATGTTTGTGAAACTGCCTTGGAGGATGCTGCGGCAGTATTTGCCGGTGTTTGTTCTGCTGCGATGTTCGCATGTTTCAGCATGTGGTGCGATGTTCGCTCCTTGTTCAAGCGCTGCTCGATTGGCAGGTGTTGGATGTGCACGTGTTCCTTTGGAAGGTGTGCGAGATCGTCCACGGGCTCGTGGCGTCTTTGGTGCCTTTGGTTCATCGCCGTAGCGGTGAAACTCTTGCCTGAACATCTGGTTTGTGATGTGTGTCGGGCTGTCAATGTGTAATTGTACTGCCGACTGGGCCGTATTCGTGATGTTCTGGCGAATGTCAAGGGTAGGTGTAGTAGCAGTTGGTGGGTTCGGTGCTGCGGATGCCGCTGCTGCTGGTGTTGTGGGGACTGCCATACTCTCCCTCGTATGCCATGATGTCCTGGTCTTCTGGTAGTGGTTGTTGTTCTTCATGAGGTTCGGGGCCACGTTCATCAAACAGGTGCTCGTGCATGGTCTTAGAGGCATCCTTGAGACATTGAATGTCTTGCTTGTCTGGTGTCCAGTGCTCGTATCCAAAGGCTGCTCTTAACTGCTCAGCGGTAACGAGGACTGTACCTCCTTGTGCCTGTTTGCCTGGGTGTGACGGGTCCCATGAAAGGAAAGTTCCAATGACCCAACTGCCTCTCTTTTTAGGGCCTCGTCGTTGCCAACGCCAGAAGGCACATTTCTGGCCTGGTTGGAGGTCTGCGACTCGGGTGTTCCGGGTCTTACGGGTGAGTGCCCTGCGGAGGTGCTGATTGACGTCGAGGTCATGGAGCGTTTTCAAGGCCTCGCTTCGAATGACTGCTGCCTTGAAACCTGGGTCATGGAGGTCCTGGTAGGCTATAGGTGTTGATGTGGCAAGGACCAAGTTGTCGCTGAAGTTGGAATCTGGCAGTCTGGGAACTCGTCCAAACACTGCTTGGTATGCGCTTCTGCCGTGAGTGTGTATGCCACTGTTGAGCGCATGGCATGTTGCTGTGAGCAGTGTGTGGCATTGGTCTGCCTGGGCTGCCGCAAAGGTATCGATGAGCTTCTCCAGGATGAGTCGGAGAAGTGCATTTCTTCGTTCTATGACTCCAATCACATGGTGGGCCTCTGGTGGGCAATGTTCAACAAGGCACCCAAGGGCCTCCAAACGGGTTTGGAACTCACCCCGGAATGCACGGTCTGGATCGCACTGAACCTTGAGTGGAATCCCATATGGTCTCATCCACATCTGGTCGAAACACTCGCAGGTGGTGATGGCTGGCATGATTCGAGCCTGGTGCAAACCTGTGGCCCGGTCCGCTACTCCCAAGATCAGGAGCGTCGATGAGTCCAAGGTACGACAGTACACAAAGTCCATCTGCACTTCATCGCCAAATTGGCCCATGAAGGGTCGAGGCATGGCTGATGGCCTCGGCTGCTGTGGTGGTCTAAGGCGCTCGCAGGTGGCGCAACGAAGTTTGCGTGCGCATTCGTAGACCTTGTCAGGAACGTCTCCCTGGTGGGCCAAGAGTCTGCGCAACTCTTCTTTGGATGGGTGCCCCATGTTGCAGTGGATTCGGGCGATTGAGGTTCGAACTTCTTGGCCGATGTCTTTGGAGAGGCCAGGAAAGTCGACGTCCGTGGGAAGTCCTGGAATCACTGCTGGGACTACGCCGGTGGTTGTGATGGATGAAGTTTCCGCCGATTTTGGTTCCAGGCGCCTATAGCCGTAAACAAAAACGGGTACTCGGACGGGTTTGGTGAATCTCTGGCGTGGAAACCGCATCTCGTCAAGCTGTTCTGCACGGGTGTCATCGCTGTGGATGAGAAAACATGCTCGGCCGGTGTAGTCATAGAACTGGAGTGGTAGCTGCCTGGTTGTTGGGTTGGCCACCACTTGGATGCGTGTTGCATCCATTCGGAGTAGGTCTTGGATCTGTCGGCCTTGTGGTGTGTCTGGCACAATGTAGTAAGGTCGTTTGGCTGTGTGTTCATATGCTCGGTCAAGGTCCTGGACGATGGTGTCCCATTGGCTGAGGTCTGTTGTCGGGTGTTGTACTGGGAAGGCCTCGGAAGGGTTTGAAGCCTTAGTGCAAAAACGATGTGGTTCCTGCTGCCGGGTGTATTGTTGGAGTATTCGTAGTATTGCCCGACACAGTGCTTCTGGGTACTCTTCTGAGTGTTTGGTGTCCCGACCTTGAATAGGGACGCATTGTTGTCGTTCGTGTGGCAGTAATCGTCGGGCAAGAAGAGTGTCCATGCCCGGCATATTGCCCATGAACTTGTATGGTTTTGCAACTGGTTGTCCTGACTGGTTGGTTGCTCCAAAAGCTCCGGCGTCTACGACAATCTCCCAAACTCCTGGCATCTGGCTGAGGCGAATGACTTGGGGATTTTGCCACAACTCTGAGCGCTGTGGGTTTTCCAACAAAAAGAATCTGTTGGACTGGTGTTGCTCCAGGGCCACGTCTATGGCAAAGTCCAGGAGTGGTTTGTCTTTCTTTTGGAGTTTCTTCCACTCTTCCGGTCGGTGACTGTAATTGCAGTTCTTGATGCAGTAGTAGGTGCACTTGAGGCCACACATGGTCAAGCGAGGTTTGAATCGTCTGGGCACTGCCATTGCTTGTTGTTGAGTCTGTTGCTGTGCTAGGTCCTGTCCATAGATCAAGTCCCATGGCTGCAGTGCGTTCAAACTATACTCGTTTGCCAGGTGTGAACAAAGTGCTTTTCCTGCATAAATCTCCCACAGGTCTGCTGAGGGAACTCCTCTTGAGGCGGTTGATGGAGCGGCCTGGTAGATCTCATGCTCATGTTCCAGGATTTTGGCCGATCTGTTCCACATGCCTCTGAGGCGCTTGCTAGTGCCAGCCAGCTTTCATGGATCGGACACGAGTGCCCAGTCGAAGTTCTCCTCGTCCGACTCCGATCTGAGGACTCCCAACTGATGAAGTCTCTCCCATCGTCTCATATCTTGTCTCCGGGCCAGTTCGTTCCTGGCGTCCTCGAAGTAGTCCTCGTGCAGAAAGGCATGCTGTTCCCACGTCGCCGGTGTGGCGTCGAGTGGGCTCTCCTGTTGCACGATCTGGAAGACTTCCAGCTGCTCTTGTTCGTTGAGGTGATCCATGATAAGACTGTCCATGTTGAACGTGGTCCAAATTGGTGTCGAACCGGGCGCCACCGTCGGTGGTGTCTCTTGCTTGATGACTTGATGGTGTAGCCCAGAGGGGCTGCCTGTGAGCTCCTCGAGGAAGCTGGGCGGGCTTTCGAAGTGGCCTTGGTCGTAATGGTTTCCGAAGAAAGTGCTGGCAAGGGTCGCGATTGCGAAGAGTGCCCTTTTGGCCCACGATGCGGAGCCCACTTCTCTTCGAGATTGTCCCATTTGAAAACCACTTCGCACTCCATGCACTGGCTGAAACGGCCGTGTGCATTGCCGTACCTGCGGGTCTGCTCGTGCTTGCAGTGTTCGAACCTCTTGAGGATGCTCACTTGAGGTGGCAAGGCATCCATGACTTGTGGAGGCAGGATCCCGAAGTGCACGGCTCTGGTCATCTGCTTGATGGTGTCCGAGAGGAAGGTCATGAGGGTAGCCACCATCCGCTTCCAGGCGACCAACCATGCTGGTGGAGCTTAACGTCACTGATCAGCGGGAGGCTTGAAGGCAAAAAAAGCTCTGGATGCGGTGAATGCCAAAGATCCTCATGAGTGAACTCTTTCCAAACATCCAACTCCGACACAGAATGCATCGGAACAGCAAATTCTGTCAACGAAATCGCAAGGTGTCCTCCAAGTCTGTGAACCTTTGTCTTCACTCCCAACTTGCTAAAACAAACCCAGTCTTCTGAAAAATTCAACGTTGCACCAAGTTCAGTCAACAGAGGGTTTGAACCAAGAAAGGGAATCTTCTCGTCCAACACTGAAGCACCGACGAGACATGGAGTTCCACCAATTCCGGACGGCAAATAAACACGTGTGCTCGATGTCGATGGATTCCCCTTTCCAAACTTAAATACATCTGTTGTCTCGTGGTAATGAGGGACCAAATTGAACTTCTTGAGGTGGTTGATATGGTCTTGCAACCACGCTTTGCCACAGCACGTCCGTTGACATCCAATACCAAAAAACCTGCAAAATGGTTGGAGGTGTAGGAGGTGATCTCGTTGATGATGAACGGACGTGATGGGCTCGATGAAACATGACCGACCATGCCAACCTGAAACAATGAACCAAACTCTTCATCCACGTGCTGTCCAACATCCAACACTCCATGATCGTGGTGGACGAATCGCACTGCATGCTGTTGCGGCTTTTTGTCGAATGGCTTGGGTGATTGAGCATAAGTCGTATGCTTGGAAATGGTGGATTTTCCACCGCCATTGCCCTTTCCACCGTTCTTCGGACAGATTGGGTCCTTGTACCAATGTCCTCTCTGGCCGCATGCAGTGCAGTGGGTTGCACGCTTGGCGTCATCCACGGTCCTCTCACGAGGTTTACCTGCACTGTTGACTCCAGGTTTGGTCCATCCTCTTGCGAGGGTCATGCTGCTCAACTTCTTTGCCGTCACTGTAAGAACCTCCGCCAAATTGACCAGTTCAGCAGCGGGGTCGTCCGCCAGTTCACCGTCAGATTGGTCTTCGGGTTCTTGGTCATCGTCTTCATTGGGCTCATCTTTGTCTTCAAAGTTCTCTTCAATGGGGTCTGGTGTGTTGTCATCCGGTTCCTGCTGGGCCTCTTCGTTCTCAGCGATGAATGCACGCTTTGGTCCAGAAAAACCTTTTCCTGAGCCAGTCGAGCTCGGTGCAGTCGAAGCTGATGAACTGGAGGATGATGTCAAGCTTTTGCCAACACCTTTGCGACTCTCTCCTTTAGTGGTGCCAGCTATGGGCGGTGCTCCACGAAAGTCTGGATATTGTAGGACCATTGCTTCGGCAATTGCCTCAAAGCTCAATGATTGTTGAGCGCCGACCAACAACATGCGCTGTGCTTCAGCCGTCAGTCCACTGCGGTCCAACAAACGTGCTCCCAAACTTTCTGAATCATATGTTCCAGAAATGTCAATGCCGACTGACTTCAAATTCCGCTGTGCCCGACGGAATCTGTTGATGTAGGCACGCATCTGTTCTCCATTGTATCGCCTCATGTGTTCGAAATCGTGTAGGTATTTGCGCTTCTGAAAAACTGCTCTCTGCTCCATTGGTGCCTTCAACATTGTCAAGATTGTCTCAATGGCTTGATCGTTGTACAACTCATCCAATGAAACATGCTCAAGCTCCTGTTCTGCTTCTCCAGTCAACGCAGTGTATAAGAGAAGGGCCTGATCGGCCTTGGAAGCATATTGAGTCATCTGCAGTTCCCAAATGCGCACCTTCTTCGTGAACTTGGAGTATGCTCTCAAGTCTGTAGCATCGTATTTCCAGCTTGGTGGGGCTGGTGGCTGTCCTGACTTCCAACGGAGGCCTTTGTCTGGCCCCTTCCGGGGATCCCAATCGCTTGCAGTCTCGGACTTCTCCTTGACCAACTTGCGCAATGCCTGAAGCAGAGGATCTGACTGAGTTGAACCTTGCTTGGATCGGTCAGCGGCATGGAGGGATCGAGTCTGGGATGGGTTTCTAACCAGTGGTGTGGCTTGTACTGGCTCTACTACGAAGGTGTCAGGGTTCACGATGGGGTCGGAAGTGCGCTGTTCGTACTCGGCTTGGTGCTCATGAACCTCGGACATGCCATCACTTTGTGATGGTGGGCCAGACTTCTTCTTTCGACGTCGCCTCTGGCGGGGAGAAGGGTCGGGCTGTCCATGGGGTACATAAAGCCATGTACCTTCAGGTGTCATCCGCTTTGTTGCATGGTTCACCTCATAGAAATCTACCGAACCGCACTGTAAACAACACCAGTGATCATCGTCCCAACGAAACTCTGTGGATGAACAATCCCAGCATCGCCAAACAAAATGTCGTGACGAGGGGGATGCACCCTGTTCCTGGATCGGTTCTTCCGGTGCAGCCGTGGGGAACTCTCGAAGTGAGGGTAGCGAAGGAGGCCAATCTTCCTCATCATCCGACTCCCCATAGATCTGATGCCATGTAGGCATGAATGACGCAGGCTGAACCGAAGAAAACAAAGCTCCGTGCCAACTTATAAAGGTCAAAAGCAGCGCTCACCACATGTTTCTCCAAGGCGGGCGGTGCACGAATGAAACTGGATCAAGGGCCCTAAGCCGAAAGGTGGCGAGATCAAATGGCAAACCTGTCAGCCAAGTTCAGCTCAAAACTTTCACATTGAAACCCCCCTCGCAAGTCAGGAACAAAATGGACTGTCGAAGGCCAAATTCAAGGCAGTGGCCAAACTTCGGCCTTTCTCGGGGATGTTCAATGGGTTGAAATCTCTTGTATATCAGCCCTTTTCTCATTCCGCAGCCCATTTGTTGAGGCACCCGGCAGTCGAAAGAGGATGGCTTCGCGATGGGTCAACTTCGAGGATTTCGAATTCGTTGGCTGCGGCGGAGGGTCGTCCACACGGTGTGCACCATGTGCAAAGAGCACCTTTTCGTCCATATGAAGTGGAAATCGAAAGTTCCGGTTTGTAAGAGGGCAACATTTTAGCAAAGGCCATGCCATCCACTTCTATGTTTTGTGGAGATAGAGGGACAGCGCAATTTGCATCGCCTGTGAAACTCCATCTGGATATATCTGGATATCCCACACCGGAAACTGATGTGTCAACATCTCCTCAAAAGCTGGTTTGGGGGATCTTGATTTGCCAATTCTGATGGAAGAAGGGGAAGGTGAATCATGAGGTCAGTGTTTGCGTGCCACTTTGGTGCTTGAGTGTACCATGGGTGCCGGTATCGCATCTTCCCCCGAGCTTACCAATCACCTAATGCTAGGATGGTAATGCAAGCATTTCTCCCAAGAAAATACACTGTTCAGTTTGATTGGTGCGCAAGGCACAACCTTGGTCCTTTCAAGATGAAACGAACCTCCGTCCTTCTTCTCGAGCTGTGTGAGCTGTCATCATAGGTGAGCTTGGAAGACCATTGGATACTGGTTTCATGCGTTTCATGTTACCATGCTTGGCGTAGAAAACCACCAATTACAGTAGCTCAGTCGGTCCCCGACGTGTCTGGGTGTTCTCGCCTCAGAAAGGACATGCTTCTTTTCGATCATCGAAAGGCTCCAGGATGACTCCCACAAAAAGAGGTAGACCTGTTCTTTCGTTGCGTCTCAGAATCTGTCAACTCAGGGGGAACAAACGCGCAGCTCCAGCAATATGAGGAGAAGATCATCTTTTTTACAATGGCGCCTGCTGCTCACGCGCCTGCTCACGCGCTGGGTGAACAGGATGAAAACTGCATATGTAGATTAATCATACGTAATATGTACAGGTCAGGATGCGCAAATGGCATCACAGCCGCTCAGGCTCCAGCCAGTCAAGCAAACAAAACCCTCACGAAGTTCTATTGAACTGTTGGGTGGAAGATAATTCTGTAGCTATAGACAAAAGGAAGCCCGCTTAGATCCCACATGATGATCGTTTGCGCCAAGCACACAGAGTCTTGTCGCGTTGAAGTCCAAATAGGGGTAAGACAAAGGAATCATGGAATCAATGCTAGTGACATTGTAGCCAAGTAGCTTGCGTCCTCCAATTGCTTGCAGATTGAAACCAAGATTCACAGAATTGCAGAAGAAAGGAATGACAATCTCGATCCATCTCGTCAATCTGTTGTGTTGGTGGGCATCCCCATCATTCCCCATCAGGTCCACATGACCTTGGAATACGTCACCACGTCACCACAGGGATCACGGCATCCTTCATGCACGCACCAAGGAAGCCAGAAGGACCATCAAACAAAATCCATTCGAGCGACAAGCACATAGCTACACTCCCTGGAACAACCATGGAAATGGCAAATGGCCCCTTGGATGACCATTTTCCGAATACCAAACAGGTGGCTGTCCACTTCCATGATGATTTCAGTGAACGTAGAATAGTCTATTTTCCAAGACTTGTTCTAAGTTGTTCTAAGTAGTGATTGTCCGATACTCTAACAAGAAACATTTAAGAGGAGGTCTGTCTCCTCCAGCCCCTCCACCCCTGACCCTCTCTTCTTGCCATGACACACGCTCCAGAGGTGCTTCAACTGCTTTGAGCTCTGGCCTGGCAGTGGAGATCTTCAGGTGCGGCCCCCAGGTGGGGCTACTGCATGTCTCAGAACATTATACCTCAACAGAACCTCAGCATGTTTGTTCCTCTCGCAGTCAATTGTCGACGTATTCGCCAACGCCTGTACCTTCCATCTGTTCTTGTTTAGTGACTACAAAAGTGGGGAAACCAATTACCAAAGGATTTTGCAGGTTCTCCAGGTACTTCCTGAATAGACAAGTCAACATCGGGCACATTGCAAATCTCGAAGGCACTGCAAGAGCACACCAGGGCCCCAGGATCGATCAATTCGGAAATATTCAAAAAGAAACGTAGAAACCAAAAGCGGCCACGGTCTAGACCATTGCCATACAACAGATGTTTCTTCCCGAATTTTCTGACCGACAAGTCATGGCTTCTGAAAGCTTCTGAGCTTGTGCCAAGCATTCAAGGCAAAGGCACCGAAGGCCGTCACGCGTGAATCCACCGGAGGCGCCTGCGCGGCTTGATTTGCTGAGCAACGTTCCCAGATGCGCTTTTCTGCCTGGCGGCAGACGAGCATCCAACGACAGAGGCCCGAAATCCCGGCCCCGGTTGGCCTGGCACTCTTCGCGAAATGACTCGTGAAGGCAGAGCTCAAGGAGAGTGTCGTTCTCCTGCATGGCGTCAGCCAGAGCCTGGCAGTATGATGGGTCCAAATTGTGGACCCATGAAGCTCAAACCCACGTCACAGACGGCGTCGATGCCTCAATAGCCTCCATGCCACCAATGCCGATGTGATTCCCGCTCAGATTGATGTAGGTCATGCTGCGGTTCTGCTTCAGCACCTGCGCCAGTGCCTGGTATCGACACCAAACCAAACAACCCACCATCCCTCACACAGAGGATATCCATCGCCTTTGCCCCAGCATCTTTAATTTGATTGTTGGACAGGTTGATGTGGGTGATGCTCCGGTTGAACAGCAGCGCTGCCGAGATCGCCTGACTCTCAGAACTTTCTGGCTGCTAAAGTCACTTCTAACAAAGGCCTTTGAAAGTTCTTGAGCAATGGTGGGTGGGTTGTGTTAAATCCTGAAACCGGACTCCACATGCACATCAAAGTGCGCTTCAGGTTCTGCAGGGCACTGTAGGAAGCCTTCTTGGAAAACAAAAGAAAACTGGGCAGACCAATTGAAGACTGGACAAGAGAGAGAGAGAGAGAGAGAGTCATCCCCACTCAGCCCTCAGAAGGATAGGATCATATACGTATCTGCAAACTTGGAAGATAATCAGATCTCTGGACAATGGACTGGGCTGTGTGGATAATCGACTATAGGTAATAGTCTTGGAACCCTGTCAGTGCTGGCATGAGCCAGTGTGTCTGAAAAACGGCTTTAGCTGCACAGTCCGTGGCCTCCAGTCCAACATCGGTGATTTGATTGCCTTGCAGGTAGATATGGGTGATGCTATTGTTGCCCTCCAGTGCTTCCAAAAGAACCTCGCAGCCCGGAGGAGATGGCAACGATGACTGTAGCGATTTCATGCGAAGGATCATATACGTATCTGCAAACTTGGAAGATAATCAGATCTCTGGACAATGGATTCGGCTGTGTCGATAATCGACTATAGGTAATATAGTCTTGGAACCCTGTCAGTGCTGGCATGAGCCAGTATGTCTGAAAAACGCCTTTAGCTGCACAGTCCGTGGCCTCCAGTCCAACATCGGTGATTTGATTGCCTTGCAGGTAGATACGGGTGATGCTATTGTTGCCCGCCAGTGCTTCCGAAAGAACCTTGCAGCCCGGAGGAGATGGCAACGATGACTGAAGCGATTTCATGCGATGTCTCTTTCACTCGGGGCCTGGACTTCAGCATCCCCGATGCAGTAGTGGGAAAGATCAATCTTCCTCTTGGTGCTGTCTCTCTTCAGGTCTTCCAAAAGTGTCTGGCACGGTGCTGCCGATCGGGCGACCAGATCTGACTGGAAAAAGGTCACCAAACCAGTGTGGCTTAGCTGTCATCCCGGAAAAGAATGTAGCCCACTCTTGAACTGCCGGCGTATGGTCTTGACACACGTTGAAGAGTAAGAAGTCCAATTGCGAAAAGTGCTGACAGAGCAATCATCTTAAGTTGGATCCGAACGGATAGAATGTCGGAATATGTCCCTGAACTCCCTGAACTTTGCAAAACTTTTGGTGTCAACCCGTAGCCGTTGTTCCTCTCAATGCACCAACGTTTGCCACAGGCTTCTCTGGGGGTAACATTGCGTACCCAGCGAGAACTGAGGCCTCAACCATGACTCTTGCAATTGCCTCGACGTGTTTCCGGGCTGAGATTACCCCATGCGTAAGTCTGCAGATTTAAGATTTGAGTACATGTCTTTTTGCATGAAAGTGCTTTTCTGTCCAGATGCCAAGAGAAAGAAATGAAGCATACATGTCTAAGAAATAATGATAAAGAAAACAAGCTCATCATAGGACGAGATTGACACGTAACTAATGCTGACGGTTTGGTGCGCAAGAAGAAGGCAACATCTTTTAAGAGTGACCGGTGGGGTCTCAAGGCCGCTGGCTTCACGAAACAAAGTGTCGAAGGCAGCTTGCAAAAGAAAACGCTCAGGTGCCTTCGAAGGCACTCTTGCTCAGGTGCCTTTTGGCACTCTTTGTGTCGAATGCAGCTTGCTCAGGTGCAGAAAATACAGCAAAGAGTGCCAAAGAGTGCCTGTGCATGTGCGGTTTTTTTTACGGTGACTACAGGCAGGGGTCGGCGTGTGGGCGGGGTTCGGCGTGTGACATGTGAGGCTACGGCCTTCGGCGATGTCCTTGTTGCTGCGGAATCGAACAGACACGGTTTCACAACGAATTGCAAAGTATGCATGAGGGTGGCACTGGGTTGCATTGGTGCCGTTCGCAATTGCAGTGGCCTGCAACTGAAAGTTGGCTTTGTCGAGGATTGCTAAACCCATTCATGACTGCATGAGCTCACGATTTGCAGAGGATCTCTGCACAAGTAGAGGGAGGGAAAGGCACTGAAAGAAGAGATCTCTAGAGAAAGTAAACAAACATCTAGATTTCCACATAAAGTGTTAAGGAGGTAGATGTCTAGAGAAAACCATGGAGATTTCTAGGGACTGCTGGTATTTCACCGCCTCAACCACATCACCACATGTTTGTTTCGCTGCAATGCAGGTCACCCAATACGTGTTCTGCCAGGACCCCCGGCTACACTTCAACACATCATAAAGACACTACATACATTTGAAAGCATCACATTCAATAGCTACCACATTACACTTCACCTATGACAAATTACAGTACCACACATGACATCACCTCCGCAGAAAATAATCGCACATCGCTCAATCCCATATCACAGCAGTGGTCTCCAACTTTTCCTACAAACACACCCGCTCTCAAACACCGGCCAGAGATTCCTGGCACATTGACAATTACAGTAGAACAAGGTCGTTTGGTGTGCCATTCAGTCCCCAGGTTGCCCCAACTCCTGAGGCCCCTGAGGCCGGAGCTCTTTGATTCTCCTCACAACGTGTTCGGATCCGCTTCAGCAGGGCCTCTGGCGGGAACGGAGGATACCACGGCGATCCGATGTGGAGAGCGGGCCTCAGTTTCAACATCACCATTGTGGTCAAGATTGATCTCACGAACGATGTTATTGTGCTCAACTGCCTCGGCCAGCGCCTGGAAAGAGGGGGTCAAAGCATGTTTTGGAGGGCATGTTTTGGATGTGGGTAGTGATGCTAATGATTGAGCTATGTGCATGGTGAATCATCATCTCGCATGATGTATCCCTGTCCTACTGTTTGAAGCAAACAGACGCAAACCTATGGCAACAACACGTATACAAAATGTAAGTGCAAGCAAACAAATCATGTGATCATGTTTCATGAGATCCAATCTCATGACATATAAATTGACGATGTCTCAGTTACTGCAAATCTCGAAGCAAAACAAACGAAATCTCCAATCCAGGGCAAGGCGGCCTCCACACCCAAACGACCAATTGCATTACCTGCAAGGTTGATTGTGATAATAGTCTTGTTCTGCAGCAACATCTGGGCGATGGCCTGGCATCTGGATTCTGCAGCGGCCACCGTGTATGGATGGCGAAAACCTCCACATGGCCTTCGCACCAGCGTCGGTGATCTTGGGGTGGCTGGACGAAAGGTCGATGCGGCTGACTTTCCGGTTCAGCTGCAGTGCCCCGGCCAGCACCTGTTTTCAGCACTCACCCGAGCACAAACAACTCAGCACTCGCCCTGGGCCTTGATTTCCTCATTCCCAAGGAGTTCCCTTTGGAGATCAATCTGTGTCATGTCGCCACCGAGCTTCAAGGCATCCGCCAAAGCCTCCAATGCCCGGCGCCAGTCAGTGTACGCCCGGTCGAGTGGATGCCAAACCATGCTCTAAAGAGTTCAAGCCACCAAAGTTGCGTATATATATATATACATACTTTGATGAATTGTTTGTTCTGGATATTGAAGTCTTTTCTGATATTTGGGTTGATGTGTAAATCATAACATGTCCGATTCTATCAGGCTTAATTCAAGCAACTCTACACGACAAGAGCTGCGAATGTGTCTACAACGTGTCCTGGATGCGTGGGCGTCCGGGAAATGCATCTGCACGTTCACCCTTGTCTTCCTTGCTTTTTGCAGGTGGAGGGTCCAGAGCCTCAAACAAACGCAGCCACGTTCTAAGAATGCAGCAGGCTACGTTCAAGTCTGATGACTGATGACATGATGTTGAATCCTCCGAACTTTGCGTCTGAACCCATGTACAGGTCATAAAGATCCAGAACCCTACATCGATCTTTGCGCCAACAACGCACAAGGAAACATGCCGTCTTCATAAGTTCTGTTACGCCAAGGTATCTAGCAGCCTCTGCAGCCCTGTTGGTCAGGATCCTTTCTTCTATGTCCTGCAATGCCTCGCGCAACTTTGCCAACAGAATAAGAACAAACCCCACACAAAGACCCAGAGAGTACCGGCCTGCTTCCCCAAATCAGTTTCCCTATCTGAAAGGCCCCTTCCTCTTGGTGTTGGCATAATTCCACGTTGCTACACTCCACATTGGTAGAGGCTCAATCAATCATTCGTGTTTGCGCGACATGTATTTGGTATATATGTATTTTTATTTATATGCAAATCAACATAATATATAGATATATTGTGAATGACAAACTGGCCAGTCTGTGCACCTGAGAGGCCTGGTTTGAACGAACGGGCGCCTCGCCCAGTACAGCGTCCTCGCTGTAAGCCTATGGCTCAAAGTCCTCTGGACCCGCCCACGCCACCCTGCGGCCTCGCGCCCGAATGGCTTCGGCAATCGAAACACCTTGGTCAAGACAGGTGGCATGATCCTCAGTGACTTCACGGTTCGAAATTCACATTCCTCAAAAACTCTTTGTGTCCTTTTCTTTTGGTCAAAAACTTCTCAATTGCAACCTTTCATTGTTCGTCAGCTGGTGATATTCCGGACTTAAGCCACTTCAAGCGGGTTCTGCTGTCGGCACGCTGCTTCAAGACTTGCAACTCATCGTTCAGTTGATATCGACCATGTTGCAGTGTATACCTGAGAAAGGTCCCTTGCATCACCTTGCTGAGGCCATCTGCTAGCTGAGCGCCTGTGTGAACCCATCGCAGTTGGATTCCTTCTGATAGCAGATCCTTGATTGATTTGGCTTGGAGTTGAGTTCGGAACTCTTGACCATTTGGTTGAGCCGTTCTTGTAACCAGATCATACAGTGATTTGCAATCTGGCACAGTTACCGATCGAGGCAGGCACTGGGCCAAGGCTGTTGTCGACTGAAACGGCTGAGGCTCTCTTCTAAACACCTCTTGAGGCCGCTTCCAGTTCGTTCGGTGATTTTGTATCCATGCACAATAGAGTCTCATCCACGAAAGTTGGTCCAGGCTTGCTTGTAGTGATGTCGCTTCAGCGGACAACGTGCTGGCGACTACTTTCTGGATCTTCCTACATCCCCATGATAATGGGCTCACAGGGCATTGATAGTTATCAATGAGATCCTTGTGAGTTGCCAAGATTATCATACCTGTGTGACTTTCGGGACTCTTGGCAGACGCAAATGATGCGTCAGAGAACAAAAAAATCGAAGATCTTTGATTGGGATTGGTTGAATGCGGATACATGTGCTTCTATATCTTTTAGCTTCGTGAAGTACACAATTTGCATCGCGAAGAATCTGAACGGTGGCTCTGTTACACTTTGAATGAAGCTCAGTCGGCTGGCGAGATCAGGCCTGGCGTTGGCGCTTGCATGCTGGAGGCTGCCCACAAGTGCTCGGAGAGCGTGTCTCTCTTCGGGGGTCACTTCATCCGTCAGACATGTTCGTCTATTCGCATTCATGCGGATTGGTCAGTCTTACTTACATACCTAGATTGGACATAATGATACTCTTGTCTGCATGTTGGTTCATATCGACCTTGGTGAACGTGAACTGTCCTACTTTCTTGGGCCTGAATGGAAAGCATTTGTCCTACCTTCTTCGAATTTTGCAATCTGGGCCTCGAAGTATTGGTCACCACCACACAGCCCGTCGTCGACGTGAATGCCCAAAACCCCTGACAGAGATTTTTGACCGGACTTGTACAACACATAGGCGCATGGGTCGAACGGTGCGGGAATGAAGTTGAGTTCACGGAGTGTTTTGTCCAGTTCCTTGCGCCACAGAGCGTGGATGAGACCGTAGGCTGACTTTTCCAGTTTGCAGATTTGGTTGGGTTTCAAGTTCAAAACACTGAGTTCTTCTACAGGTTCCAGTCCTAGGAATCGATCTTCTTGGGTCTTCCCTTGCAAGAATGTCGAAACTCAAAATGTCCACCCCATTGATGAAATCATTTGGAGCAGCAGCATTTTTGATTGTTTACCCAAGGTTGGCGAATCTTGAGGGATGCTTTCAAGTTGGGTGTCCTGAAACCCGAGTGGACTGTCCGGGTTAGGAGTGTTCGGATTTGGATTCCGATGCATCGGCATCCAAAGGTTTCCAAACACATATCCATCAGGAATCTTAGAATTTGTTCTGGACTGAGCTGATGGCGAAAGATCTTACTGACAGTACCTGTGCTTAGCCAATTTGCAACTTTTCTTTTGCTTGCTTGACGAAAGAGAGCTTGTTCTTCCGATGACAGTTG